ACAAGAATAGCTTGGGTTCTTGAATTCAAACTTGTCAAACTTATTGCCTTACGCTCAAGGCTGTGAGAGCGTCCCTGCCTTAGGTGTCTGTTATGACATAAGACAACTCGGAGGTCATGTGATCGTCTCAATGGACGCCGCGCTGGAAGCTGGAAGCTCCCCAGGCAAGGTGCTATCTTCCTAATCACGATATCCATCCATTTCGCATCGACTTTATACGAAACCCTGGATTCATACTCGAATTACAGTCTTTCTCTGGCTACCATCCCAACTCGTCCACACTCGGTGAATCTATCGTTCGTCCGTCCTTAATCATGAGCGACCCGGAGCGCGGCCAGGCGCTCGAGGAATATAAAAAGAGCTTGCTCGAGCTACGAGAATGGGAGGCCAAGTTGAAAACCCTTCGCTTGGGTATCAAGGATCTTCAAAGAGAATTTGATGTCTCCGAGGATAACATCAAGGCACTACAAAGTGTTGGTCAGATCATCGGCGAGGTGCTGAAACAGCTCGACGAAGAGCGATGTAAGTATCCAAGGCTCAAGATATTCGTTTCAATGATCGCATTAAGAAGCTAATCCGCTGTACAGTCATCGTCAAGGCGTCCTCGGGTCCTCGATATGTGGTCGGTTGTCGTTCAAAGGTGGATAAGTCCAAGATGAAGCAAGGCACACGTGTGGCCTTGGATATGACAACACTCACCATCATGCGGATGCTGCCTCGTGAAGTTGACCCCATGGTGTACAGCATGTCTTTGGAAGATCCAGGGTCCGTCAGCTTCGCGGGTATCGGTGGTCTGAACGACCAGATCAGAGAGCTCCGTGAGGTCATCGAACTACCTCTGAAGAATCCAGAACTCTTCATCAGAGTTGGAATTAAGCCCCCCAAGGGTGTTCTCCTCTACGGTCCTCCGGGTACTGGTAAGACGCTGCTTGCACGAGCAGTGGCCAGCTCGATAGAGACCAACTTCTTGAAGGGTATGTTCAACTTCTGAAAGCATTTACAGCTGCGATGTTCTGACCGGTCTACTCTCCTCAGTTGTATCCTCGGCCATCGTGGACAAATATATCGGCGAATCCGCTCGACTGATCCGAGAGATGTTCGGATACGCCAAGGAACACGAGCCCTGCATTATTTTCATGGACGAGATCGATGCCATTGGTGGACGACGATTCTCAGAGGGCACATCCGCAGATCGAGAAATCCAGCGGACGCTCATGGAGTTACTGAACCAGCTGGACGGTTTCGACTACCTAGGAAAGACAAAGATCATCATGGCCACCAACCGACCCGATACACTAGACCCTGCCCTGCTGCGTGCCGGTCGTCTGGACCGCAAGATCGAGATTCCTCTCCCCAATGAGGTTGGCCGTCTGGAGATCTTGAAGATCCACACAAGCACAGTCCAACAGGAAGGAGATATCGACTTTGAGAGTGTGGTCAAGATGAGCGATGGTCTTAACGGTGCTGATCTCCGAAACGTGGTTACTGAAGCGTGAGTGACAAATCTTCCTTCATAATATGCGTGTACTCGTTGGCTAACTCTTTATTAGTGGTCTGTTCGCGATCAAGGATTACCGTGACGCTATCAACCAGGATGACATGAACAAGGCTGTACGGAAGGTGGCCGAGGCGAAGAAGCTGGAGGGCAAGCTTGAGTATCAGAAGCTGTAATTGTATCTACCTTGCGGGGCTGGTGGCCCACATCATCTGGTGCACGGTTTAGATCTTTGTCTTGAAGCGCTAATGCTATGCATTCGACCTATTCTTCTATTGTTGATTCAAGTACTCAGTAGATCAGGGGATCTTAGGAACATCAACTTGCCTGAGTAACAATTAAAAAAGTAGCTACTTCGAGAAAAAAAAGAAGGACCTTGGGTTCGATTGGTAACTAGCTCGATGCCCTGTTCATTTATGTACTCATTATATAGCTATGAGGCCGGTTACGCGTACAATGCGATATGATTTGCGGACCCCTAGTGTTGCCTCTCCACTTCCCCAGCTTCCTTCAACCTGCCCTTGCCACGTTCTCGGTTTTCGCGCCAATTTCGTCTCGAATTAGATTGAAAGCTTGTTGCGACACTTGGCGTTTATCTACCTTAGCATTACCCAGGACACGCGGGATAAACTCCGCGCTCCGCATCTCCGCAGAGAAATTCTTTACGGACAACGAAACCACCAAACAAAACTGTATCGGTGCATGTTGGCTTTTAGATCCGAGAGACCAGATTGTCTTTGCGATCGACACTTGTTCATTACAATCGCGCCGGAAAGGGTTGTACTCCGGTAAGTGTGCAGGTCTGGCCCGAGGGGTTAGCTCCTCGTCCCCCAGGCTGAGGATCAAACCTGACTAACTGTTGCAAGATACGCGCGTATGAACCTTGATATAGAATCTTAATCAACACCAAACAAGGCGAATCCTCCGATAGCACCTCTACCTCCTCCTGCTCACTCCCATGTTGCGCACTCGGTAATCGCAAGACCGGCAGACAAGAGACCAGATCGAAGAGAACAATGGCCTACCAGCCATCGCGCAGTCCCTTCGCGCCCGCGCAACAAGACGGCTTCTACGGAAACCCTCGTAGTGGGCTCCGCGGATACGGGCTGTCGAACCAGCCTATCCCCCTGTCCAATAAAGTGAACGGCTACTTCGAAAAGGACCGCACACTACCTTTATACAAAGATAAGCCGTTCTTTGCGCCGCGGCGCACGGGTCCTCGAAGGAGATGGAAGCCGTTCCTCAACGTGCTAGGGGTGTGTACAGTCTTATTCTTGTTGTATTATAACTTCTACCTTCGCACGTGGTCAGGGCTACAGTCAAATGACAAGGGCGCCGAATTATGGAAATGGGCCCAGACATTAGAGGATGGGAAATCTTCTGGGGACTTGTCTGACTGGACTGCAAGACGAGAGAAAGTGCGGGACGCCTTCATCGTCAGTTGGGAAGGATATGAGAAGAACGCATGGGGTAAGTCATACAGTATCCTTGTGTGCTATGATAGCAGCTGACACCATTATCCAGGGTACGATCAGTATCGCCCAGTATCGAATGTTAATCAGGCAGACACGAGCGGCGGGCTAGGCTGGATGATAATTGACTCCCTGGACACATTGATGATCATGAATCTGACCTCCAAGGTCCACCGCGCGCGGCAATGGATCTCAACATCGTTGAATTATGATCAGGACCGTGATGTTAATACGTTCGAGACGACTATCCGCATGCTGGGTGGCTTGCTGTCTGCGCACTATCTGTCAACCCAATATCCTGATTTGGCACCCCTCAACGACGATGATGTCGGTGCTGCCGGTGAAGACTTGTACATTGAGAAAGCAGCTGATCTCGCCGAGCGGCTAATCGGGGCTTTTGAGTCTCCAAGCGGTATCCCATGGTCGAATGTCAATCTCAACACGTCAGAAGGTGTTGTCGTGCATTTCGACGAGGGGGCTACGTCTATTGCCGAGGCTGGTTCAGTACAACTTGAATTCAAGTATTTGGCCAAGCTGACCGGCGAGGCCGAATATTGGAAATTGGTCGAAAGAACGATGAAGCTGGTTGACCTACAAAAGCCACAGGACGGCCTTGTCCGAACCGCCATCCATCCTGACAGCGGTGCATTCAAAGGAGACAGCATTAGTCTGGGTAGTAAGACTGATTCTTACTACGGTATGTTGATAGTACTCGGTTGCCGTAGTTCTTTCAAGCTGACTCGCTCTAGAATATCTCATCAAGCAATACCTGCAGACCTCAGAACAGGAGCCCGTCTACAAAGAAATGTGGGATGAAGCATTGAGAGGCATCCGCAAGCACCTAGTCTCATTCACCAAGAACGCTCAGCTGATGATTATCGGCGAACGGCCCCAGGGCCTAGGCCAGGAACTGTTACCCAGAATGGACCACCTAGTCTGCTTCATGCCTGGCACAATCGCACTCGGTGCGACAGGTGGCCAGCCCTTATCCCAAGCCCGAAAGTCAGCGGATTGGACTCAACAGCGTGAGGACGAGATCCTCATGTCCAGAGAATTAATGAAGACCTGCTGGGCAATGCACCAGGCCACGGCAACCGGCCTCGCAGCCGAGATCTCCCACTTCGTCTTAGACTCGTCGCCTGTGATGATGGCAGACAAGTACCCCGATCCAGTGGCAAACCCCAACCACGCATCCAAGCCCGAGATACTGCGCGGCATTTCCCATCCACTAGAGGCGCAAAGCGATGGGTCCGAGCCCTGGCGTGCGGACATCGACATCCGCCGCAACGACCGACACAATCTACAACGCCCGGAAACCGTCGAGTCCCTCTTCTATCTCTATCGTATCACCGGCGACGACATCTACCGCCAATGGGGCTGGGAGATTTTCAAATCTTTCATCAAACACACAGCCGTGGTTGAAAAGAAAAGTACCTCCTCGCGTATTCCGACATCAACCAAGACAGCACCTGTTTTCCGTATCAAGGGCTTTACGTCGCTTGGAAACGTGGATGCAGTCCCTTCATACAAGCGCGATAACATGGAGAGCTATTGGATGGCTGAGACGCTTAAGTATTTCTATTTGTTGTTCTCGGATCGGGATTTCATCTCACTGGAGGACCACGTTTTCAATACTGAGGCGCATCCATTCCCGCGGTTTAAGCCTAGTGGGGATCTAAAGACGGGGTGGGAGAGAGCGCCTAGAAAGTAGATTTCGTGGGCGCTTTGTTCTAATGGAGCCTTGGTTGGCTATGTTTTGATGTCTCTTATATGTTCCGTATAGCGCTTTTTTCCGTGCTTTTCCTTTGCCCTCTGGGGAAACCTAGATTTGTATACCAACATTCTGTACATGGCCGATGTTACTTTCTGAAAGCAATACTCCTTGTTCACATTAGCATTTTATATGTAAGGTAAAATCACCTCTATTCTGCTGGGACTTGAAATAACCCAATGGCGGGACCTAGTAACCGAAATTATGTGAACATAGCTCCAGATACCACACCCCTACCAGATGATATACAACTAGAAATCAATCATACAACCACCTCGCCCTTAGCCTCTCTTTCCAGCGCAGCCTCAATCAACTTTTTATAACCAACCACAGCCTCCTTGATCTGGCGGACAGTCAAGGCCTCATTATCACCATGAGCAACAAAGATACTTCCAGGCCCATACAAGTAGCGCTTGACACCAGGGCCGACAGCCAGGTTCGGCACATCAGTACCGTAGTTAACAGTCGTAACATCAAATCCATCAACATCAACATCCAAATCCTGCGGCGGGTAAGACTCGCCATGCGAAACAAAGTCCACAACAACCTCCGCCTCGAAACCCCGAACCGCCTCCTCAACGGCGCGCTGGATAATCTCACCCGCCTCAGCAGGCGTTCCAGCGGCAAGTCTCACAGCAACATCCGCCCACGCCTCAGAAGGAACGACATTCGTCGCGACGCCAGCGCGGATAACGCCAATATTCAGCGTCGTCGGCCCGTACTTCGGGGAGGCAGGCAGGCCGCCCTCTTCGGTGGGGATATCGCCGAGCACGTCGACGCGCGAGAGCGCAGGCAGAATCGCTGACACGGCGCTCTTGCCCAGCCATGGGTATCCTGAGTGGGCGGCGCTGCCGTGCGCAAGGACCTTGAAGCCGAGCATGCCTTTGTGGCCGGCAACGAGGGCTGCCTCGGTTGGCTCGCCGAAGATGATGGTGTTTATGGCGCTTTTCGCGTTGAGGCTTGAGTCCGAGAAGAGTTTCATGCCATCGCCGCCGATTTCTTCGCCGACCACGAAGAGAAGGCCGAGCTTGGCGTCTGGTTGTGAGGCTAGGGTTTCGAGGGTTGCGAAGATTTGGGCTGCGACGCTGCCCTTTGCGTCGACGGAGCCGCGGCCTGCTATGATGAGGTTCTCTGGGTCGAAGGTGGTGGAGTCGGAGATGGGCTGGTGCACGGAGTATGGGATGAAGGGCGGGACTGTGTCGATGTGGCTTGTGAGGAGGATTGAGGGGGGTTGTGTGTAGGATTTTGGAACAGCGTAGATGTTGTAGCGCGTCTTGGTTTTCTCTTGGTCCTTCACTGGGGGCACCTCTTGCTTCACCACGGTGAAGTTCCGGGCCTCCAGGAACTGCGCGACGAAGAGGCCGACATCGTGCTCGTTACCGGAGAGTGACTCGATCTCGACCAGGTCTCGGTGGAACGACAGTAGAGGTGAACTGCTGATTATATCATCTAGGCCTGTTTGGCTGTAGCTGGGCTGGGAGGAGGATGGCACGCCCAGGAGATGTTGCTGAAGTGCGGGGTGCGGAGAAGCCTGGACGCCGGAAATGATGGCCGCAGCCACGAGATATGAAGAGAGCTTCATTGGAAGGTCGGGGTACAAATATGTTCCAATTGTTAATTTGCTGTGTCCAAAACAATTGAACAGCCCCTACGCCCTGAACGTTGAGTGTTTTGCGAAGCTTGTAGATCGGAGATCCGAGGTCGGCCCCGATGTATACGGTCACGTGGATAGATAAACATATCGACCGGTTCGTCCTATTGGCCACATATTATCAGGTCTGTGGTGCTCGTTATTGCGTGATGGATTCAATGTCAGATACAATGCCAGATACAATGCCAGATGCCTTCATTCACGTCTATTTCATTCGGCAAATTCCTAACCCGACAACATATGTATAGCTCGTATTCGTTAGGCGAGCTGGCCCACCCAGACGCGCCGATTTATTCAAGTCCCGAAGCTCTACAAATTTAGCAGAACACCGAGTGGATATTATTGGATATTATTGGCTGTCCAAGCTTTCCTAGAACAAGGAAGTCACTTTGATTCGTGAAATTAGCACAGTCTAACGCTCCGAAGCTAAATTAATTGTCTCCGATTTAAACGGGTAGCTCGTGTTAATGGATACACTCGCGATTCCCGGGTTTAAAAGTGATCTCCGTGCATATTCACTTCTTATAATCCTATACTAGTGAAACCGGCCTCACCGAGGCTATGAGCGTCATTGGGCTCGATGCTTTCAAAAGTACTAGAATAGTGTTGGCACGACGATCCAAAAACACAGCCCTCGGACTACACATCTCAGCCAGCCACATACTACTTCTATGATCAGCCCTACAACTCAGTTGGGTTAACACATTTCAGCTGGGTATTTTTAAAACTTAATACATACATATTCGGTTTCGAACACTAACCTTAGTGAATAAAGCCGACACCGAAATCGTTTGTACGCAGAGAGAACTACGTCGACGGGCTTCGCGAATCAAAGCTTTACTTTTAACAGGACCACAACGCTCACCCGGTCTATCCGATCGTGTATTGAACCAATTTGCCAAAGGCTGCTAGCTTGTAATGTATAGCGCTATTTTATTGGGGGAGGAAGGAATCACATATGTACCAGCTGAAAACGAAGAGAAGTAAAAGTGGACCGGATATAGAACGGAAATACCCACCTACCCACCCAGGGAGGGAGCCCTATCGACTCAAGAAGCTTCTAAATAGATTACCGAACAGGTGGAACTCGTTGGTGGAAGCAATTGAACCATCCCCCCCCCTCCCCCCTGCCTGGCATGCATGGAGAACCGGAATCTGCTCTAGAACCACATACGCGCTGAACCCAGGCGTAGTTGGTGTCAGATAACAGAGGATAGAATAAATAGGTGTCCAGATAGATATTCATTCTAGTTTAATTAATTTGATGGCGTTTAGGTGAAATCTATATCTCAAATCCAACGGCTTTGGTTGGGTAACCATCTCGCTTATTGGATACGTTTATAAGATCTTTAGTACCCAGATATCCACCTCGTATAGCCCTGTGTCGTTATCTACGGAGTACTCCGTATGTTTTATAGAATCAATGTTATACCGGGGTATCTTATTGCGCACATTCACGAGGGATATGAGCTGGAAACCTGCAATGATGTATGATCGACATGCACCATCACAACTTGGCATACTTGAAAATTGTGAGTTCAGCTCGTTGTTCTGTATTGGACCCACCTGTCAGTCAGATATTCACGTTCCCGATGAAGCCCGGCACTGATGGCCCGGGAGCGCGGATGGGTTCGATCGTTATGAAGCCAAAATAAAGCATACTAATGCTCGGTACCGCGAATACGCCCCAGGTGGGGATGAGACTAATGCCATAGGAGCAATGATCTACGCGTTCATGCTTGTCACTTCATATATTATACATCGTATGTGGTACATAGTGACAATAATGAACGGTGATTGGCACATCGGTGATATGTTTCCAGGTGATATAAATATGGATGCCCCCTTCAGATGAGTATTTCTAACACAGCATTCTTACTACGTTAGTTTACTTGCTTCCTGACATCCGAATCATTCATCCTAAGCAAGAACATGGAATCTTTTCGGAAAAGACTGCTTGCGACAACGATCGATGAGCAGGCTGAAACCAAACCCACTCAACGATTTGCAGTTATTTCACAGGGATTGGACCTCAGCAATGGGCTCCGAGACATTTCAATCAAAGACCTGGCACAGGCCGTGAACTTCATGTGTTGGTGGATTGAGAGCATCATTGGACCGGCACACTCTGACTCCCCAGAGACGGTGGCCTATATGGGGGGCAACGATGTGCGCTATCTCATCTTCTTTCTTGCATGCCAGAAGACTGGATATCAGGTAAGGAAACATGCCACTCAAACTGAGAATATAACAGCCGGACTGACTCTTATAGGCCTTCTTGCCTTCTACCAGGAACTCAGACGAAGCGTATGTTCATCTACTGAGCGCGATAAACTGCACAAAGTTCTTCTTCGGCGAGGAGCGTCAAGAACGAGTACTGGAGATACATGGACTTGTACCGAAATTGGACATCTTCCAGGCCCCGACCCTGAACACAATCCTCAGCGACGAGAGTGGTCTACGCCACTACCCATATACCAAGTCCTATGCCGATGCAGAGGATGACATTGTTTGCATCATCCATAGCTCTGGAACGACAGGTAAATCCCATGAACGTGGCACTGTGACTGTGAACCAAGCTAATTCCCGACAGGCATGCCCAAGCCGGTGTATCTCACCAACGGCTTCATCATGACCTTTGATTCTGTCACTTACCTTGAAAAGCCACCAGGTCGCCGGCCAAATACATTCCACGACCTGGATCAAAGTCAGCTGCTGCTGGCCGCGGCACCTTTCTTCCATCTGATGGGACTAGTAACATTCATCTTCTCGGTGTGGAACGAATGTCCCATGTTCGTTGCCCCCGATAAGCCACTCTCTGTCGACTATATGATAGAGCTGCTGAGCACTGGCCACCCCACAGTCGCACTCCTGCCACCCTCGGTCCTGGAAGATATGAGCCAATCCGAGAAAGCACTAGCTAGTTTGAAAGAAGTCAAAAAAGTGTATTTCGCCGGCGCGCCTCTGCCCCTAGAGATCGGCGAGAAATTGCGCAAGTATACGGAGATCATAACGGTAATTGGAAGCAGTGAGGCCGGCGTGATCCCAGGGCTAATACCGGAGGACAAAACCAACTGGGGCTACTTCGAATGGAATGAAGACTACGGAGTGGAAATGCAAGACACCGGCGGCGGCGTGTTCGAGTTGGTGATTCCTCGGAAGAAGGATTCTCGCGACTGGAAGGCCGTTTTCCACACATATCCCGAGCTCGATGCGTATCCAACCAACGATCTCTTCACCCAACACCCAACGGACCCACGTCTGTGGAAGTTCTGCGGGCGCAAGGACGATGTGATTGTCCTCAGCAATGGCGAAAAGTTTAATCCTATCGGGATGGAGGGTATCATCGAGGGACACCCGCTGGTTCGGAAGGCGGTGGTAGTCGGCCAGTCCCGGTTCCAGGCCGGACTGCTCGTCGATCCGAGTCCTGCGGGATGGGATATGGACCCGAAGGTCTTTATTGAGGAGATCTGGCCGGTAGTACAGGCGGCTAACCAGACCATCGCGGCTCATGGCCGGGTAATGAAGAACAAGATCAGGCTCGCTGTGAAGACAAAGCCATTCCAGACGACTCCTAAGGGTAACGTGCGGCGCCGGATGGTGCTTCAGGACTACGAGGAAGAGATTGATATGATATATACCGAGGACCTCGTGGATGACTTGGACCAGTCTCTACCGCAGACGTTAGACCATGAGAGTCTTACGGAGTATATCCGCCAGGTTATTACCCGTGTCCTGGAGAAACCCGAGATCGCAGATGATCAGGACTTTTACGCTGCCGGTCTTGATTCTCTAATGACCATTCATGCCTCTCGGATACTGCAAAAGGGCATTCAGCTACGTCGGCCGGATGTAGAAGCAGGAGCCATCAACGCCCAGACGATCTATGGCAACCCCACAGTCGACCGATTGTCTCAATCCGTGATGGACATCTTAGATGGAAGAGCCCAAGCTGATATCCCGCGAGCAGAGAAGATCAAGAGTCTGCTGGAGAAGTATACGTCTGATCTTCCAGTGCGGGAAGTCTACCGCGAGAATGGATTGCCCTCGCCTTCGACTGTGATTCTGACCGGTTCAACTGGCTCACTGGGTACTTATCTCCTGCATGATCTACTAAACAGCGATTCCATCACCAAGATCTACTGCCTCAATCGTTCGGATGCCGAAGCACGACAGAAGAAAGGCTTCGAAGAAAAAGGCTTACACTTCGACGAAAACGACTGGAAAGACAAGGTCGAGTTCCTACAAGTCTCATTCGGAGAACCACAATTCGGCCTGGACGAGTCCAAGTACCAGGAACTTCTCGACTCGGTCGACACCATCATCCACAACGCCTGGAAAGTCGACTTCAACCACTCCGTCGATTCGTTCGAGGGCACTCACATCCGGGGTGTGCGGCGCTTTATCGACTTCAGCTTGAACAGCCGCAACAACGCCCATGTTCACTTCGTCTCCTCCATCAGCACGGTAGGCGCTTGGACCCCCGACAAGGGAGATCTGGTCCCAGAAGTACCGATCGACGACATTTCAGTCGTTCTCTCACAGGGCTACGGCGAGTCCAAGCACATTGCCGAGCGCATCTGTCTCGAGGCATCGCAAAGATCTCAAGTCCCCACGTCGGTACATCGCGTCGGACAGATCGCGGGACCGACTAGCGCGCGCGGACAGTGGAATCGACAGGAATGGCTGCCGACGATCATTGCGACGTCAAAAGCGATGGGTAAAATCCCCGACCAACTCGGCTCGGTCGCGGTCGATTGGGTCCCAGTGGTAAGTCCCCCGAAAATTATGATTCACTAGCTCAGCCAAGAGAAAAAAATTTTAATTTTCTAACTTGATTTTAGGACACACTATCCAATATTATAGTGGAAATTGTCAACACACGTCATCGGGACTCCTCCGAAGCAAGATCTGCCGTGTTTCATCTCACCAATCCCGAGCAGACATCATGGTCGACGTTGATCCCGGCGGTCCAGAGCGAGTATGCAGTCGAGCCAGTTGCGTTCTCGAGGTGGCTTGGCGAGCTGGAGAGTATCACCAATCCCAGCAGTGAGGAAGTTGCCTCCAAGCCGGCACTCAAGCTGCTGGGTTTCTACCGGGGGTTGGAAGGCGAGGGCAGTGCCTTGTCTGTACCGCTGGATGTCCAGCGGACGAAAGCGGCAAGTGCCAGCATGAGAGCGCTGGGCGCGGTCTCTCCCTCGTTGATGCGAAACTGGCTGCAGCAATGGCAATTCTGATTAATATAGCTTATATTGGATTATATCTCGAATTAATTTATCTCATGGCCACGGTGTATATTGCTTCCAAGGTTATCGTAAGGCTTGAACATGACATAAGTCGTGACTGTGCGCGACCGGAGCTTCCTCATTGGGTGATTACCTCAGAAACCCACCCGATTAGGTTTCTTTTTCGCTTGGCTGGGTCGGCTTTTGCTATTTGCCGAGCGGCTGTGATTGGTCTGCAGACTCGGGCTATGCCCTTTTTGGGCTGCAGGGTGGTCTGTTCGGTGCTAGTTCTCTGCAGGGATGCCTTAGCGAGCGATGCGATCGGAGAGATCTCCAGGGGCAAAAAGAAGAACGAAAGGATTTGATATATCTTGATCTATCAACAGATATCGCAACAAGCGACATGTCGCCCGAAGAATCAAAATCGACTTATCGAGCGTATCTTCAGGGCTGACAACCTATCTGTCGCCCTGAACAAGCCCGATCCCCCGATCGCCGCGCCAAGGCTCGCCTCCCAACCCCCAAAGGCACACCCGGCGGGCAGAAGCAGTGGCGCCAAACACCATGGTTCTCTTCCCTTTTCCCCTTCTCGCCCCTCCAATCATTGCAACATATGATATGATGGAATGTTCCCCGAATTCCCCGAGAACGTTGGTTCGAGCCATGTGGACCTGACGTCTGCCAAAGGGGACTTTGCCTTTTTCTTTCTCTTTCCCCTACCTCTCCCATGGTACGGCCTTGGGTACCTATTCATATTTTGATGGGATTATGATTGGATGTTCTTTCATCTAGTACTACTTGCGGTTGTATGGAGGTAGTGCTCTGATGTCTAGTCCAGGTCTAGTTCGGAGTTCAAGTTTATCGTAGGACGGACAGCAATATGATAGTATACATCATTCCGTGCCCTAGTTATGTGGTATATAATTTTTCGAACCGATAACCCTCCATTGTGCGACCCAACTCGTCATACTCGGACAAAGTTCTGACCTCCACGGGACGGGGCCTTGTCCGCGGTTGCTCAACGTTGTCGGAGCTCTACAACGTACATATACAACTACAACATACAAACGGGGTGGATGCACCAGTCCGTGCGTAGGAGTATACCCGGTTATTCGTTGAAGGATAACCGAGTACGGAGTAAACAGACAAGAATAGCTGGAGCGGATGTATCCAACACCTTTTCCCCCCAATCCTGCAAAGCGAATCAGCACCGATCGACTGGGTCGCAATGGCATCATAAATGGTTCCCCTCTTGCATCCACATCAGTCTAGATTGCCGATCGCACACACAGGGATTTTGGATGGAGTCCGGAGTATTCAATTGAGAAAAGGGTCCTGGAGGAGGGGATGTAGAACACATTGGGCTACACGGCATATCTGTGTAGCCGTTGGGGGTGGTTTGAAAAACAATCGAATTAGAAGGGATCGTACATTGAGTCCTTACGAAGTTACAACATAACATGCATGGATAAATATAAATATAAATATGAAAATAAAAATAAAAGAATAAAGAATCCTTCCAGACTCTGCTGCTACCATGGTTCAAGCTGTGTCAACCACCGGAACTAGACGGAGCGAACCTTGGGAAAAGACCTTTTGGATCGGCAACGGTCAATTTGGGTTTAGTCACCTTTTCTTTTTTTTTCTTTTTTTTTTTTCTTTCTTTGGGAATCCGATGGAATTCTCCACTGACAGTTGTTTGGTCTAGAGCCAACAACATCCTCTCGATTCCTATTTCCCTTTCTCACATATCTCCTCTTCATCTTCATATATTCATCTCTGTATCCATTCCATATATCCATCCCATCTGTCCTGCTCTACAAAACAAAGCCAGAAACTGTACGACCCAGGATCTCCCTGTTCCCTTCCCCAGTCCGTTTGCCGATGTAAGCAAAAGCACCGAAACCTCTCTTTCTGCCCAGCCAGTTAGTCTCATCAACTTGTTTGGTCCACGTCGCTCGGGGGAATTCATTTTCGTTTTCTTTTTCCCTTTTCTGTATTTCGAATTTCTGTATTTTTGGCAGCCCTGCCTGGACGATAATCGACATTTCCCCGTCTTCATCGGATGCTAACTGGTAGACCCTCAGTTCCCGCGTTTCCCGGACTATTACTACTACTATCTTTCCATCACACCGCCACGTCCTTTCCCGCCCAAAAGGCCATTGAGGGAATGACTTGTTCAAACTGAGCGTTGTCTCTCTTTTATATTGTGGCCACCCCTCGCATCCAATGCTGAACGGCAACAAATCCCTATATACCAGCCACCCCGTCCAAGCGGCGCTCACCTCGTGAGAATGTACAAACTGTCTCAAATTATCGACGCGACACGAGAAAGTCTCGACGCGCTCGAATCGCCTCTACGCCAGCCGCACTCTCCATTGACTATTAATACCTCCGCGCCGGCCTCGCCTGCTGTTTCTTTGTTCTCCGCCGCAGGCCACAACCGGGTCTCCAGCTCGGTCTCGTCCTTGGTCTCTTCGTCCGGTCTGGGGAACTCAATGGACAGTTCCAGTCGGAGTCAGTTGACCGGAGTCAAGGAAGAGGATTGCACACGCGACTCATTGGAAGATCATTATTTCCGTATGTGCCTATCGCCAAAACTCCCCCGATATGCAGTTGCTAACCAGACCTTCTATAGAACACTTTGATCGCATGTCTGCGGCAGATTCATACTTTTCTCCCATCGATAACTCAGATACCTACGATCTAAGTGTCACTGGCATGGAGACTGCCCCATCACCGAAAAAGAGGCGTTCCGGCTCAGACACTATGTCATTAAAGGGCGTCTCGCGCATTAACTCGCACATCTCAACCATGTCAGCCCGGTGGAAGACTAAGCGATCCTCCAGTGGTGATGGCGATACGTTCCCGGATGCTCTACGGTCTCGCGCGAACTCCGCGGCCTCCTCCGCCTTGGCAAGTCCCACCACTGGGCCTGTACCTGTGAGCCGGGTCGACTCTATTCCCCCTTCTCCCGCGCGAACCATTTTCGAGGAGCGCGCGAGCGAGTCGAGCGTGCGCCCAATTGATATCACCCGCGCGAACAGTCTCAGCCAGGACGACAACGATGTGCAGCAAGCGACAACCCCTCTCCTGCCACCATTTATGAGAGACGACCCAATGAGCAATGCGTCCCGCGTCCAGTCACCTCTGCAGTCTCCGTCAGTCGCAGATGCGAGTGAAGCAGCGTACTATAACTATAATGTGACCTCGGACCCGCGGTTTATGGGAAATCTTCCCTCCCCACCACTCTCGTCCAAGCCTTCTGTGGCCTCCTTCAACCGGCCACGAGCCAGTACCGTGCGCACAGTCTCAGGCGATGTAACGCCCCTCGTCCTCTCCGATCCCAATGATGAATGGGCCAACAAACTCGGCCACGCCAATTTCACTATCATGCCTGAGCCTTATGAACCCGTAGTTTGTGACCTCGGCCATTTCCAGCAGCTGCGGGGAGACTGGGACATTGCGCGTTGCAACTTTGCCAAGCACCTTGTCCGCACTGGCGAACACTACGGTATGACCTCGAACATCTATAAGCTCACCATTGATAAATGGGATTCGATCAACCGCGAGTGGGCAAAGCAGCACGAGGCCATGCTCGACCAGCTCAGCGCGATAGATGGTGTTGCTCTCACGCTCACCCATTCCAATATCCACCCTTGCCAACAGCTCCGTATCCCCCGTCTGCATGACAACGACAAGTTCCCCGAGATGGGGGATGAGGATATTGTCGGCCCAATGACTGTGGCACCGGCTGCGGAGCTTGCAGGTCCCTGCCGTTCTGAGAAAAAGAGAAGTTTCTTCCGCTTTTTCCAGGACTTGGTCTCCCGACCTTGAGACCTGAGTCTTCGTTAGGCTCTTGTCTTTTGTCTTTTTCATTTCCACATTTTCAAGCGATCCGCAACGATAATGACGATAGATTATTCCCCGCGCGCATTCTGACTCGTTCAATCTCGCCCGCACTGTTACGATTAATGTCTCTCTTTTACTCTTTTCTTTTTATTTTTTCTGTAATGACTCTCATGACTCACGATCCGGATCAGCGACTACTGTCTCGCCCCGCATCATGCCATTCTTTTGTCTATATTGCGAGTCTTTGTCTTTTCTGGGGGCTATCTTTTCTTCTCTTTCTTGGTCCTGGATGTCTTCCTGCGTTTCCACCGAAGACATCCACTTCCTTCAACAGCCGACAAGAAAGAGAACGAAAAGTGAACCCCTAACTGACTGGGTGTGCCACCCTTCTCCTTGATTTTGTCTCCATTACATACTATACCCCCCATACACCAAGCCTACCAACCGTTGTACCCCATAGACTTCAACCTTACTCATATCTCTGCTTCACAGCAGAACAGGACAAAAACGTGAAAAGCATCTGAAAAAGTACCATACAATGTTTCTATATGTATATATCCGTCTTGATTTCTGCACAATACACATATGTTTCATATACGAATGTCTTATTACATCTGCATCTAATTCTCAATGAACATAATATTATGAAACCCTCATGTCCATATCATTTGAAGGGATGACACGGTGCATAATAGAATCCCACGTGGAAAAGACACTTATCGGATATGACCTCCAAGGCTACTGTTGCATGTGAGTCACATGGAGAATAAACACGGTGGAGAGAAAGTGACCTGGTAACTAGTTAGAGTGGATCAGCCACGTTGTGCTTTTAATAATAAAGAGAATTCACCCCGCGTCATACCCCGATGCCTCGCTTCTGGATGACTCTTCCGGTGAGACTAATTTTTTCACGGCGGGTAAGATATTCTCGCCATAACCGCGGGGTTCAGCCCTAGTACTATCCGAAGTAACAAGTTTTCAGTATCGAACTTCGTAAGAATTTCAACTTGATATACAATTGAAGCAATTAATCAAAGCGCGGTTCTACAACCCCCTAAATAGTGACTCTAACTACATAGCCTAGACCATGAAAGAAAAGAAAAGCATACTTGCTACTCCTAGTTACTCCGTACTCACGATATTAGACTCGCCTAGACTCGGTCATGTCGGTCTGGGCTAGTGTTATCGGCGCTGCCTCGTCTCCATAAATCCTTTGTGAGAATCCTTTGTTGTACGTGAGAATCCTTGCAAAAAGTTCTTCGACTCGTTCTAGGAAGGATCCGGTTGCTACCTAAGTACGGAGTACGGAGTACTCCGGTGGATAGATGATAGATAGAGACTAGATACTCCATTGCCTCGGGTGTACCTGCCTCGCTATCTAGAGTCTTATTGCTAAGCCATCTTGTAATGATCCGAATAAAAAAGTGGCCTCGGGATGAAGTAGGATTGGACCGGTGAGGCACCCTAGGTACATACAGCATTGAATTGGGTCTTGTTCAATTGCCATAAAAACTAGTTATACAGGCGGCATAGTTAGTTAGATAATCTACCAGATCCTCGCTAGTTACTCAGTCAGGATGTGGTAACAAGTGCGCTCTTAACCCTAAGTCTTACAAAAAAACATCTTGTGTCCAGCGGGTAGAAAAAAAAACAGCAAAAAAGTGAGCACTGAGTGTGGATCGAACACACGACAACCTGATTTGCAATCAGGCATTCTACCACTAAATTACCAGTGCGCCAGAACCCTAGACCGCTAGGCTATTGGTCCTGTTTTGTGATTTGTTTTATGGTTTAGGGAAATATAACATACATTTCGTAATGCTCAATGTATACAACTAGCATCCGGCTTGTTTTTCAATGCGACAGACAGCTTGTGCACAACATATAATTGTATGCAAATTTCTATAATTACATCTATAAATATCTACAATTCTCATCATGAATATAATCTATGAAAGACCATGTACGTGTCCTGTCATTAGAAACCCTGGACGACACGGTGCATAATAGAATCCCCCGCACGTGGGAGAGACAGTCGGACATGACCACTATTTACCGAGGCATAGTTCAAGCGGAAAGCGCGCTGCATATGAGTCACATGTATGTATGTAGAATAACTAGTTAACGGTGCAGGGAAATGGTTTGGTAGAGTGGATCGGCCACGTTGTGAAGCTACCGCCATTTGATCCTCTCGAACGGCTGGATTGGGCCTCTGATACTGATAACAAGTCTGCATGGTCCAATCCGTATTGAGAGTGCCTCGGTTTAATCTTTAGTTAGGTCTTGAGATTGTGAGTCAGAGACTCTGTCTTTCAGATTCAGATTGCGTCTGGATCCGGTAACTAGAGTGTATGTAATTGATTGTGTACTGAGTGCGATAATTGGTCGCTTACTACCATGATTACATGACGTATACCTATGTATGTGTTTTATGCGCCATTCTCGGGATATATGTAGGCCATGTCTGAGGACATGCAAGATATTCCAAATCGCATTGGATATCCCTCCCTCAGCCTCGGGATCCAGGCAGAGCTGAGAATCTCGGATCTAAGATTATCACAGAACCGAAACATGCATTGAGGCAGTTGAGATCAATATTCGCGCATTTGAGGTCCGGTGAAACTCCGCCAACAGTAATAGGCCTGTACACACGAGCTATGTTTCAGCTTCGGAGCATGCAGATAGAGAGACAAGATTGGGATGAGCACGGCGCAGACAGACGTAAGCATAAACCCGGGACTTGAATATGGCAAGCGGTAGGCGTATATACCAGTCTGGTACTTTCAAACCCAGTACTGGCCCCAGATGCTCTTTGCCTCTTCGTTGCCATGGAACTGGAACTCGACGGGGATGATGTCGTCAAAGCCCTCGTCCAGCGTTGGTGCGCGGAAGCGGCGGCCGAAGTCGCCAAAGGCGATGCCGGGAAGGGATGTTCGGGATTCGGGGTTCTGGTTGGAATAAGAATGGGACAAGGTTAGATGGATATTGCCAATACATACCAGTTCTTTGTTGGATGCTCGGACAGCGTTGTTATGCCGACATAGGTCTGGCGTCGAGATAAATTGTACGCAACGGATAGGGATGTTGAGCTCTTTCGCGAGAGATGTCCAGTGAGCTCGCGTTTCTGGGTCGGCGTTGGTATTATCTAGGGTAGTCGGGTTAGATGTGGGAAATTGGGAAACTGAGATAAATGTCACTACGTACCGACTGCCACGGACTTCTTGGCTTCCAAATACTCGCGGGCGACCTTGAGGCATTTCGGACGCTGTTGATCATCAGCATTAGATTTGGTTTCATTTTAGGATTAGCTTGAAAACGCACCGTCTTGAGAAGATCTTGGTTGACTCGTTCATAGCCTAGAGGCTCCAAATGGTTCCAGTAGAAAGTGGACTTTCCGGCACCTGGGCTGCCACAGAATATTACAAGCTCGAGTGGGTGCTTGCGAGTAAAGGGTTTGGCTGCGATGAAGACCTGTCAACACTCTACCAGAGTTGGGCTGGGGATACCAAGTTCTTTGGAAGAAAGACTGCACATACCCGGCTCTTCGAGATCTGACTTTACGAAAGAGATAGGGTCGAAGCCCACCGTCGCCGGCTCCGTTATCTGCCCGAGGAAAAACTCCTCCGGGGTCTTGAACGGCATACCGATGTTGGTAGCAAGTCCCCTAGAGCGAGATCAGACTTTGTCACAAAACAACGGGGTCATGGTTCTTACCGATCTACAGCTGAATGATCACCTGGTCTTCCAGCCGCATCACCGACGAAAACCGACGCGGGCAGGTCAACACCAGCAACGTCGAAATCATAGTCGTCCAGGAACTCGCGCCACATGCCGAGACGGGGTTTCCGGTATTCAGGGTCTGTCGTGGCCGCGTAGACGCTGACAGGGAAGTCCAGTTCGGTCATGACAGCGGTCATTTTTTCTTTAAAGTTCGACAGACTTTTGGAGTCACTCCGTCCACCCTTGATATCTTTTTGGATACTGATCTTCTTTTGGTTGGAGAAAATCACCACTTGGAAACTGTCGAAGTATGAGCAAGTGGACTCATAATTACCGAGTCTGAACATACCCTTCAGCGTTGAGCTCCTTCAGTCGGCCCGGGACTTTGGTGTTCCACCATTGCCAATCAGTGGCAGATTTGGGGAAGACATTACCCGATTTGGTTTTGATCAAGGTCGAATCCTATATCAACGTCAGTGGGCCTATCTCTCAACGCTACCCGTTCTAGCGTTCAGTTCAACCACTGACCAAGTCAAAGCCAGCGATTCGGCGCTGTTTCTCAGCGGGAGGCACTGTCTTGCCCGTTGTCTGCTTTCCGATGATAACACTCGTGCCGATGACGCGCCATGTGATCGGTTCGGGCTTCTTTTGCGAGGCCGGGGTGAAGAAGTTTGCCGCCGATTTCTCTGTAGGTCATTTTTTAGTAGTAGCCAGCATGCTAGTGGGTAGTAAAGACTCACTGGTTACCGTCGAGTCGACCTTGCGGCGCAGTGGTGGTGGAGAGATGCCTTGGGGGGAGGCGACTCGCTTGACTGCGCCCTCGGCCATTCTGACAGTACGGGCGAGTGAAGACGTCGTGAAGGTCTATGGGTAAATTTAGATGCGTGTTGGTTGATTCGATCAGTTCTCGCTGTGAGATGCAGTTGAATCCGAGATATACGTTGGACGCGCCGAGACGCGGGAGAAATCACGAAGTCACATGTTCTGAACTTAAGGTGAGCATTTAAGTTGTATGCCAAATGTACGAGATATATATAACAAAAATAAAAAATACATGAGGACGGTCATCTTAAAAGAAGTGAACTTGGAATAGCTGATGATCCCGGAAAGGAAGAAAGAATGTCAAGCGCTAGAGGAACATATTTTGACGTCGAATCTGGCAAGATTTATTTGTAACTTTTTTTTTGGCTTTTGAGATAGGACTTGCACAGATTTTCCTGCTAAGCCAAGTCCTACTAGGACAGCAGTACAGGCGTTGTATTTCTGTGGGATTATAGGATTAGGTATGCTTCTATATGCACTCCCACCGAGAGGAACGAAAATATTCAGTCGACTTGATTGCTATGATGGGTATATTTTTTTCCAATAAAAACAAGCTCGAGTCTATCAACGCCATACCGTCGCTGGAGACCGGGTATTCGTAGTCTCCAGCATGCTCGCAACCGAAAGGTGGCCATCTACTTCGCCCGCGTATCAAGAGACAATCGATCTGCCTGCTCCAGGACAACCGCCGACTTCAACTGTTCGCGCAGGCCAAAGAGATGCTGCGAGGCAGTCTTCATCGTCTCCTGGTTGCTACCATCTTGGACAATGATATAGGCCTGCAGCACATAGCTTCCGCTCTTCTCGAACAAAGTCATATCCTTCAAAGGAGGCAGCTGTCGCCGGGGCAGGTTCGATCCATCCCCACCCGGATAGTGCAGCACGCGATGCAAGAAGATAGCAATGTCATTATGGATGAACATATCACCCTCGACCACATACTCAGTAGTGAAACTAGAACCAGGGTTAGAGTCCGCGATCATGAGATCGATTCGATGACGCCACTCACTTATAACCCCACGCATTCATAGCCTGCACGATATCTCCCCGCGGTAGCGTGGCGCTCGACATCAGACGCGACGTGACCGCCGAGCGGGTGCCAGCTTCCGGGATATCACGAAACTCCAACTTCCAGGGCTGACGTTCATAGTCGTAGGAAGATGAAGACACATTAGGCTTTGAATCGTCCGTGCCGGCCATCTGGGTGTCTCCATCGACGGGGGCAGTGGATCCGAAATCCGATTCGGAAACCGGCCCAACCACCTGGGTGTAGTACATATTCCCGTTGAGCATCTTGTTCAGCCGTTGCAGGTCCGCCTGTTGCAGGTCCTGACTGGCTCCGGTGCGCCCCGCCATACCCGGTTTGCGGTAGGCCTTGAAGATCAGCCGCCGTTCTAGGCAATGGCGGGGTTGCATGGCAGTCAGCCCGGCAAGTTGCTGCAGGAGCTCATGATGTTGATGGACTGGAACCGAGGCGAAAAGCGACTGCTCGTGCATTGTCTGATATGTGTGTAATGTAGCGGGTGAAGCCGGGAGATGTCCGTCAGGGTCCAAGCTCCTGGTGGCGCAACCTAACGTTATCAAAGCGATCAGACTATTTTTTATGTGTTGCAGCTATTGCTAATAATCATAGCGTTTACGGGGATGTTTGCTGTGTTTGCCGTGTTTGCCGTGTTTGATCTGTGATCTGTGTGATTTGATATTCCTTAGCAGCACGGAGTACTCCGTAGTTCAATATTGGATTCTATTGAATTTTCCGATGCGTCCATGGTATGAGGGAATCCGAATTCCGGTGCGGGCAGGGTCCATGGATGCCCCAAGGCCGCCATCCAGTGGCAATCCGTGACTTCCTTGTGCCCAAGGCTGAAAGGCAACAGAAGGCAAAAGAAGGAGGAGCCCATGGAGAGCTCACCGAGCCACCGACTGGGAAATGAGGGGAAGAGGCTCGGAATCTGCCCCCGAGGCCAATACCGCTGGGATATGGCGTGACCTATATAGTCTTCTCCAATACCCCAGGCCCAGGATGTACCGAAGTAGTTCACCCGGTCCCGAATCGGCTCCTAGTTCTTCTTATCTTCTCGTCTTTTCCCCTCTAAAGCTATTAATTCTCAATATCACCTTCTCCCATATATTCGGATCTCGTTCTTACCGTCAAATAACTAGAAACTATTCCCTTGTTGGGTGCCTCGTTGCTCTCGGTCGGATTCGGATACCACCGGACCCGGTCAATTTCGCACATTCCCGCATTAAATTGATCTTACCATCTTCCCACCTCACACTCTAATAACTACATAACTGTCAAAATGCGTGCCACTTCCATCCTCCGCAGTGCTGCCCGCACTCCCCTCATTCACTTTATTGGCAAGCGCTCCGTGCCAAGTACGTCAAATCCTTGTCCGAGCTCCAATCCTGAGACCAAGCTAACCTCCTCCCAGAGTCCATTGACCACTCTCCTCGTGTTCACCCCGCCTCTCCCACCGGCTCGCTCCCTGACTCTTTCGCCACCTACCGTGCTAAGGCTCAGCAGCACGGTCCCCTCGGTCGCTCCTCCTTCAACGGCACCATTGGCGGTCACTCCGGTGCTTCCTTGGGCCCCGTCAAGCCCCAGGAGGGCGAGTTCTTCGATCGCGCCGAGCTTCCCGCACGCTTCGGCCGTCTGCCCTGGACCGAGGCCGAGATCGAGGCCATTGAGACCGGCGGCGCGAGCTTGTTTGCATAAGCGTCCTCTCGGGCGAAATAACAATTGTCTCAAAATGTATGAATGGGGCATACTTCCAATGGAAGTTGCGTGACGGGCGAGCTTGAGTCTTGGATTTGGATTTGGGGCAGTTGAGCGCGGTCACGATCTGACTTGGGCCGGGGCAGCCAATACCTTGATACCTTACCGGTCGCTAGGACACGGATCTGACGCATGTTCACTCGTTCCGAGGTTTCCGAGACCAGACACTCTCACTTTATACTCTGTTCCTTGGGTTTGAAGCCCATCTACAAGGTCGTCTTTCTCTAGCGGTCATTCTTTGCCGCTCTTTTCTTTCCTTTCGGTGTTTTTGCACTCGTACCCGGCGCTGGTGGTTGCTTTTTCTGGGTGTTCTATTTCCATGCGCACATGCAGCTGTGTCGTCCTGACGTCGAAAAGCAGAGTCGCGTTCGTCTTATACATAGGTTGTGGTCAGGACTTGGTGATTCTTGTTACATACATAGGCTCTGTGAGCACTATTCAAAATGTATTTCTCGACTAAGCTTTTCATTAGATGCATAATACTAGAATATATACAGCCGAACTATAGTCTTAGCGTAAGTATCAAGGGTAGCAAGTACGTGGTCTCAAGCACGTGCCTCCCGGCTCTACCTCAATTCGCCCTTGTAGCCCTTGACTACTCTCATCCCGACGTCTAATCCAATATGGGCTCTCATGTCAGCGAGACGAATAGGCTGACATTCCGGGAGACAGACGAGGCTGGAAATCCTACTGCAACCTATATCTACTCGGGAGGTGTCGCTTCGATCACTTCAACACCGACGGGCCGAGTAGATGTAATAGTAAGTTATCATTTCTTGATTCATATTGGTTTTCTAGCACTGGACGTTTGAATTGCACGCAAAGTTCCAGATATGGTCGTCATCTTGTGGACTGGCGAGCATCCCGGTTGTCCTGGTATGCCTACCAATCGCTTTATAATGAATATGTTCCTGGAACAACACATACTCTGTTTTGCATCTATAGTACATGAAATGTGCTCATTCAATCTCTATTTATGGCATTGATTCAAAATATGGATGTCACTGCATGATTCGGAACCTACAATGCTATATCAATACCTCAAAGTCCTCACTGTTGACTAACCTAGTATAACAGAGTGCCTCTCCATCAACCTCATCATGGTCAGCTAAGCCTCTATTCAGCTCCCTGAGTGATGTTTTTCTCCCTTCCGGATATCCTCAAAGTGTCAGCGATGACTATCTCCCGTGAGTACAGCGTTGAGATATATGAAACATCCCTGATATATAAACATTGCTAACTTCAGACTAGATATCAAATCTTTGTGAGCATCAATCCCCGGCTGCAAACTGGTTGTCACAGACAGAACCCTCATGGCTCGAACTACTGGCTCTACCATATCAAGCAATATCAAAGATACACCTAGGAAAGAGACCTAACACCAATCCACCAGGACTCCCTTCAAGCCTTCTGCAGCTCAATAGCAGGCCTCCTCTCCTCCAGAGCCGTCCTCCAAGGTCCATATCCCACATCCAACTAGAAGACAAGCAACTAACATCCAACCAAAATACAGGAGTCGGCGTCGGCAACGCCAATGCCTCTCCAACCTCCGCCCTACTCCTACACATCCTGCAAGATATATCAGGCCGCATCGCAACGATCTGCTTCGCCCACCGCGTCGGCACAGCCCTCGAGCCGGAATGCAAAACCTACCGACTAGCAGCAGACGTCTTTAACGATATCGCCATGATCCTCGACTGTCTCTCGCCGGGTGTTCCCGCCGGACCACCGCGAGTGATTGTTCTCAGCACAGCAGGTGTGCTTAGAGCTCTCTGCGGTGTAGCCGGGGGTAGCTCGAAGGCGAGCTTGAGTGCTCATTTTGCTAAATGGGGGAATCTGGCGGAGCTTAATGCCGTATGTGCCATTTCAGATTTCTGTGCACTGTCTTGTTAGGAAATTGACAGACAGGGCTAACCTATATTTTGTCGTGTAGAAAGACTCGTCTCAGGAGACTGTCATTTCTCTTTTCGGCATGCTGGTAAGCATCCATCCCTAACCCAAAGAATCTGCCCTAACAAACCCAGGTCGGATCCGTAGTAATCTCCCACATAACCAGCTTCACCACAACCTGGCTCCTCCTCCTCATCCTGCTAGCCCTTCATCTAAGCATGAACTACGCCGCCGTGCGCGCCGTGCAAATGACAAGTCTAAACCGCCAGCGCGCGAACATCGTCTTCTCCGCCCTCCTCGACTCAGACAGCAGTCTAGCCCTAGCCCTAGATCCCAATCACAATGTCGACCCTACGGCCACAACTACACCAGAGAAGAAAAACACCCTCCTCACACTCACACCAGCACAGGTCGCCCAGCACGAGCGCATCTTCCACCGAGACGGCGCATTGCAGTGGACGCAGCATACAACAACCCAGCACCTAGGGTCCGCGCAGATAGGCGTGTCTATGTCTACATTCCTGGGTAATTCCGGGTCAGGTAGGACATTCCCACGCACGCTCCCGCTGCCGCAACTTGTGACTGTTTTCGCGGATGAGTATTATTTGCTGTTTCTCGCACCGGGAGGGAACCCGAATTCGAATACGAATGTAACCAAATGGCATGCTTCGATTCTCTTGAAGCCGGGCTGTGCAGTCGAGCACCAGTTGAAGGCGTGGGCACATGCGTTACTGGCTGCAAGGGTTCTAGCTCTGGTCGGGATTTCAACGGAGTCTTCTTCTGCTGATGCGGTTCTTGCTGTTGTGGAGAAGACGCTTGGCTTGTTGAATGCCGATGCGCGATTCCAGGGATATATGATGGCGTTGAGGGGTGTGGGGTGGGATGTTGGTATTGCGGCTTTGGAGACGAGGGGGGGACGGAGGATTGATATTTGATTATTTACACTTACTTACATCTTCTATTTCTTCTATCCATACCCGGAACTTTGGCTTTCATTCAGCCTTCAACCTTTATCCCATTCTACACTCGATCCTATCCTATAACTACATATGGTAAATGCAATGAAAGCCACCCTCCGCAGTGCCGAACAGACATCCCATTAACTTCGAAAGGCAGCGGAGGGTTACGTGTGCATCTGTGCTACAACACTAGAAGCCGATCTGTACGTCTCCCCGGGCTCTCGCTTTCGGCCGACATGTCTGGGTGTAGGTGTCTGACGTGTGTGACGAGAATGATCGAGAGAGGTCTAGACAAGACGGTTGGTTTCGGAGTTGAGGGGGGATACTCGGATGCCTGCTGGGAGGACGGGTGGTGTGATTTGATTCCAAGGTGTTTAGTTAAATTGAAACATGTGTTCAGAATGGAAGAGTCGAGGTCTTGGTTAATTGTTGGGTTTGGAATTGCCCTGACGGTTGGATGCATGGCCTATATATGTATGTGTATGTGCATATCTGCATGCGAATTCAACGCTACGGAGGACAGACACTGGAGTACATGATATACTTTTGTATGGTTTCACTGTTTGAAAAGTAATGCGAGGAGGGGTATCAAGTCTATTGATTCCGAATAGAATAAAATCCCAATTTTGGGAGATGAGAGACCAAGACATGTCTCGACCAAAACGCCGTGTGTCCAGAGGACCTGAAAAGCCACCAGGTCCTCTATCCAATCTATAGATGAGAGTATGATATGATATATATGGGTTTCTTTTCCCGATGCCAACCGCCAAAAAACCATGAAAAAAAGTAACAAGTGAAAATGAAAATGGAAAGAGGATGCTCAGCCGGAGACATCCCAAAAGAAAAGAAAAATAAATAAAGAAAACGCCGGTTTCATATGCTTTCAATGCGTCATGCTCTCATACACCGCCAATATAAACGCTCGACAAAGGCTAGAATGAAGTCGTGGGATGATGCATTTCATGCAAGTGTGTAATGATGAGAAGAGTCGTTGCGAGGTTCGTAGTTGTCGTAAGTCCGGAGACAAAAGGGTGTGTTTTGGGATCTCGACAAGAGTCGGGATCAAAGGGAGAAAAGAGAAGACAATTAATCGTCAAGACCAAGAATCTTAGGATCGCGATTGCTACCGTTGCTGCCTGTAGTGGAGCGCTTCTTGAAGCCAAGCTTCATACCCATCTTCTTCCAAGGGTTCTCGGTGCGAAGCTTAGGACTGTGCATGGGAAGATGCGGCTCGCTGGCAGGCGGTGTGGTGGGCGGCGTCATTGGCTCCTCAGCGGTGGGGCTAGAGCTGGAGTCATCGGTCAGCGACAGGTAAGCTGACTCCCCGCTGGTGCTTCCAAGGGCGCCGGAGGTGCGTTTTCCGAGGGCATGCATGGCGCCGAGGGACATGGTCGAGCGGTTGTGACCCGTTGCAGGAAGATCCTTGGTAGACGACTGCGGGGAGGTGCGCTTCGACACGCGCGACCGGACTGTTTTGATCGGGTGCTCGTCTAGGCTCGTCGATGATAGACTCATGAAGTCATCGGGCCCCACAAAGGGATCGGAAGGACCCATGGAGGGGGAAGTGGTGTGGCTGTTGACGAAGGGGAGGAAGATGGACTCCTCCATCAGGTCGTGGATGCGCTTCACGGCGGAATCTAACGTCTCGGGCACGGGCGGCGCGGTCACATTCTTGTACTGTAGGAGCGCATCGCGGACTTCGCTCGACAGGTTGATCTCGCGCGGCGACCCGGGGAAGATGTATGCAGACAATAGGCGTTTCCAGAGCATTCGCAGGTGCTGATTCTCGGGGCAGTCCGATTCCAAGGCGGCAGGGCCCAGTCGTCCGGCCAGAGCGTAGTAGGAATCCCGGTAGCGGTTGGCCTCCATGGTGAATTCCAATGTTTCGAGACAGTGATTCTGGGAGAGGTAGGCCATGAAGGCGCTCAAGGTGTATGGAGGAGGAGCAACGTTGGCCAGCACCTCGTTGAGCGTCGGGCGCATGGAGAAGGCCCCCGACGAGATGGCTAGGCTGACCGGCCGGGAGCCAGAAGATTCCATATCCTCTTCGGAGTCGCTGTCTGAGGAGGTGGGGGACAATTCGGGGGTTGCGGTAGGAGTATGGTTCCGAAAGAAGAGAGACGGAGCCAGCGTCTTCTTTTTAAGCATAGCGTAGAGTGTGCGTCGGGGACCTTTGATCGGCTTTTTTCTCACCGGTCGTCCCCTGCGTGTGGGACGAGGCTCCAGCTTGAGATGAAAGAGGGTTATCGGGATACAGGCATATAGGATGCGCAACACGGGATGACAGGAATGTAGGGAACGTAGGGAATGAGGTAGAGTGAGTCGGGTGCGTATAGTTTGGAGAGGCAATATAAAAGGTAAATAATAGAAAGTGGAAAAAGAGAAGCGGAAATCACAGCACTAAAGAAGAAGAATAAAAAGGTGCAAAGGGCGGATTCTCGAATCATTATTCATGACGATACCTTGGGTAATGGTAACGGGGCCACCCTCAGTAGACTTAAGTGGGGCCTATGGGGGACGCTAAACTAGTTTCTGCGCCCAAGTGGGGCCGGTGGAGTCGTCTTTCGATAAGATGTCATTATTATTTTTCTTTTTTCTTTTCTTTTTCCGTTTTTTTCCTGTCTATTTCTTCATTCGGTTTATTTCGGTCTTTTCGCGTCGTGGAATTTCCTGATTGGCTCTGGCTCTGTCTTATTGTGGCAACACACTGAACTCTCACGTTTGAACAAGCGCCTAAGATCTGCAAGGGAGACCTCTGAAATGTACGGAGGAGACAATCTTCTGTCGCGATTGAAATCGAAGCACACGATCCACCGATGTATTATGTAACTCCATGTCGGTCCATCACTCCACATTCCTTCCAGAAGTCATACGTGTAAGCTTCCACGGGTTCTGGAAAGCGAACGCGCCCAACGTGGCGACTTTGAATTTTCGTTCCCCTGAACTCCACCAACACGAGCTCTTTGAAGATACACTCCATCCGACGGAGTACCCCGTACAATGCATGTCCATCTTCTATGCCGGATGAGGATATAACTCCTACATCTACTGCCTAATTGACGATAGCCTCTTATCTCCCGGACGCTAGCACGCCATCCGAGACCGGAATGTCAATCCTGACCCACGGTTCTGTGGTAAAGAATGACCGTACCATGACGGGTAAAATACACGATAAGGCCGTGTGTCACGGCATTCCCTCCTTGCATCGAAGGTCCTCAACTCTTCCAAGGTTGGCGTTCCCGGGCTGGCGTAAGGTTCCCAGGTCTGGCACGTCATCTAAACCGTAATTAACCGAATGTATTGTATCAAATCATGTACATTTAAGTTAACATGGCCCTGCCGATCATTCCAAACCCGGTTCTGAGGGAGATCATCTGTAACTCACACTGGAATGTCACACAAGCTCTGAACTTTGTCTCTCGATCATTACTAGATGCATGCTCGGGGCTCGTGGACGCGTATGTGGAATTCACAGGGATCCGGCAAGGTACAGATGAAAGAAATAGATTGGCTTATTTGGTGGAGGCAAAAGAGCGACCCGAGCGACCGTGGAATAAGGAATAACGAATAAATAGCGAATTCAATGCCATGCTCCTCTGCTATATCGTACAATATCAAATTCAACTGCTTAACTATATCCTTAACCGAAATAACCTGACTGCAGCCGAACCTGCCCAGACCTTCTAGAATTCTAGAAACCCCGTCGAAGCACTCTAGTTCCTTCAATCCACTCGATCGCCACATCCGATATTAATTCATTCTCTCAGCCCCTGAACGGACTCAAGTTCCACACCCAGTCACCCGTAGCATCAGAGTTTTCTTTGTAGATCCGGGTATCGCCACTATCATGTTCTGTTTGTCCGAGTCTGCCCACATAGCAATATCGAATACAACATACGCATTTTATGCATGCCAAGCCAGGTGTAAGTCACCGTTGACATGGAGATCGTTGCGACCCACATCCTATTCCTTTTTTCCCGACAATGTTCGGCCGAAATTATGGGCGCATACCGTGATACTACGGAGTACGGAGTATGGCACATCGTGGTACTGCCGATTCAAACCGAGCGCCAAGACTGGGAGAGATCTGTCTATAGATCCACTTTTTGTCTTTCACTGAGAACATGGAGGAATGTAGTATAAATTATAGAAAGTACGCGAGTTGGCATCAATTGTGTCAGATCAGTCTGCACGCTCTGGATAAGGTTGCCGTTGAATAGCTCAATGAAGCTTGGTTCTACATTAGGATTTGACAGGTCGAAACATCCATGTGTGCGTCTGCATGCAGGATATAGAAGTGTTGAGTTTCATGGATTAAACCAATTGGGTAAAGACGGGTATTACTTGCTATTACTTGCCATTGAGTTCATCTCAGGTCCACACTAATAGGGTATCATTGAGCTTATGGTCGGATAGCATACTAGTCAATATTTTGCTTTATGCAAGGGCACAGACCGTTTGAAAAACCGTCAAATGGCATAGAACATACAATAGAACACCTACAGCGTGCAGATATAGTAGTACTCGGTCCTACATTGTAATGCAATGCGAAAATCAAAAAGCAAAAAGCAAAAGCGCTGGACCAACAGCACGTCAACCCCAGTACTAAGTAGCACCGGCGACATAACCTAGCACGCCATTATTACCGCAGCCACTCTTCAAAACCAACCAAATCCCAAACCTAAGCGCCTAGCAAAGACAGACCAAGTTAGACCCGACTCGGAGCGGGCCTCCTACGCCTATATCGCAGCGAAACCGCAAGCCCGTATTGTATTAAGCAGGGACTAGCATACAAGCGATGCACGCGAGATCCACTCACAAGAGGAGCTCAAAGCCCCAATAATCGATCTTTTCTTGGCCAAGTACGGAGGACCTAAACAGGAAGGAAGCGGATATCCACCATTCTTCCTTCCCCCAATGTTCTGAGAGATTAAGGACAATACCCCCCCACATCGGCGCCCACGTGATTCCGTTACGCCCTTACCGTGGCCGCGCTGGCCATGTTCTTACCTTTTGGTTTCCCAAATGCGTCTAGAACAATGGTCTTGCGTTAGCGAGGTGGATCTTGGGTTTATTTTCTTCTCATTGCTATGTTTATGTTATGTTATACGTATGGGGTGCATTTCCATTCTAATATTAGGGCACTACTGTAGGTGCTGATGGGGAATTATTTTGCAGTGAGACTTTTCCTCTTTCTGTTCTTTCGTATTCTTCCCTTTTTTCTCGTTTGTGTATATATGAGGTATTTACTCCGATTCCTTAGGGTAATGGAGGACAGATTGTGGCACATACATTCCAATGGCATATATCTGCATATCTTCAAGGATTATCACCGGATATTGTTTGTATGGGGTAATGCCTAGACATGGCCGTTTTTCGTCACTAACCAGAAGGCAGGGGTGTTGTCGCTATTGACTCGTGCATAAGCTACATTAGTACCTGCATGATCCTTGACGATAATATCTATTGATCATCCTTGGTGTCTTGCCTAGTTTGCTATACCCAAGGATCTGACTATTAGTCGATAGTAACCAGTTATTTACTCACCAAGTTACCTTTATATATTTGCAATTGTGTGATGCGATTGTGTAACAATTGATGCAATATCCACGGTGTACAAAATAGTAAAAGCGTTGATAAGCCAAGCTCGAACTAAACACGGGTCAAGCAAGGAGAGACATAATCAAGCAACACGCCCCGGATCTACCCCTGAAACCTTCGACGCTAGCCTGTAATATCTCTGTATGGTGTGATGATGTGATGATGACAAAAAAGTACCACGGACCGTTGAGCCAGTCGCAAGGAAGAATGTCGCAACCAAGAAGATTGCCGATCCGCACGGGATGATCTCTCCAGAAGAGAAGAAACACGCAACCCTGTTCAGCAGTGGACCCTTTAGCTAACTAAAATACAAGGGAAATTGACCCGGCCACCCACAGCAGTCGATCAGACGGCAGATGCCGCCGTGACCTCATGTTTCCCCACTGTTTCACTGTAATCTTGATTTTAGCCAAACAACATAAGTTGTATGATAATATAGCACTAGATTAGCAGAACGATCGAGACTCTAGGCTCGTTTCAGGCCCTTGGCTAGAAGGTACTCGCCCCCGGCGCTACGTGAAACCTATGAGACACTCTGATATTGTTAGTGTCAGGGTAATTTATCGTTACGAGGGCTCAGACTGTGGGGAATGCATGCGACTAACTCGTTCTAGACTGGCCTTATCACCGTCGGCGCTAAATATTGGTTTTGCTTTTTGGGATGGCTTAAGGGTTAGTTACGTTGCTTGTATGCACACTCCGGTCTCCGGAGTTTACAAAGTGCGTTTCATACTACGCGCCTGGTTTGGCCTAGACACCATGTGTTAGCCCATTTAAGGGTCTATAGTTAGATTTTGTGGCTATCGTCAAACTCCGTATAGAATATCAGGATGGTGTTATGGGCAAGGCGATCCCGTACAAATATTTTCAATATCACACGCAGGGACCAATAGCCCCAATACCCATGTATATTATAGCATAATGATAACATAATTGAAACCCTGATACCATACCACACACATATGTACTCCGGATACGAGAGTACAGAGCCCAAAAGATAACCCCCTGTCGATAAAAGCCCAAGCCCAAGCTCAAACTCAAGCTCAGCTCCAAACCAATAACAGCAAACCTCACCAGCCCAGCACCCAATCCGCAGCAGAACCAGCCCATCCCCGCAGAACCCCCCTCCGCCTATCCACGCACACCCATGGACCGCAAAAAGCAAAACCGCAAAAAAGAAAAGAAGACAGACTCCTCTAGTTTCGGCCACGCCAAGACCAAATCGCCAAGCGGGGAAGGAGATAAATGCGGGGGAATACGCCATTAGCACACACACCCTAAGAATAATGCTAACTAACGTCAACTAGTTAGTTAGTTGACTAAAAAACCCCATTACGCATCCTGAGGTAACATGGCACAATATCGAGTATACCCACTGCTCCGCTCTGACTGGCTACCTTGTCCGGGGGGATTCTGAGCTGCTCTGCACGGCGGACCGAAAACAGTCCAGTTCCCGCCTGAGCGGGGTTGGTGTTTGATCTCATTGCTAGGCGCGATTGGGTATGGATTGGGATCGGATCCTGTTGGACCCTGTCGATGCTTCTAGATCTTGGCTGGGTTGCGTGGCTGGTGCATGTCCGTATTCACTGTCACTTGGATACTGTACTGTACTGCTAGGTACGCTGCAGCCTGCGCATTGCGGGTTGTCATTGGTGGGCTGGGACTGCGCCTTTAATAACGACTTCTGGGTTTGCTGTGTGGTGATCTTTGGTCTGATTGGTTCTGGCTCATGTGTGTGAGGGAGACGTGTGTGTCCATGGACTGGTGTGTGGGCAAAGGCTTGCTTATTGGGTGGTGCGGCGTGCCATAGGTTGGGTTGGGGGATGCGTACGAGTTTCTGTTTCTGTGATACTTTCCACATGATACTTTAAAGTTATGTCTCTGCAGAGTCTGGGGATGATGATCAATGATCGACGGTTGTTGACAACCTGCAACGTACGTTGTAGTCGTACTTCGTGGTTTGGTTGGAATCATATGATTATTTGACACATTCTTGCTAGGCTCAAGATGGAGATGCCGGGGATTGGGGTTGCTTGCTTGTCATTTCCCATGCACATGTTCTGCACGGCTGAATGGGGTAAACGGCTGTCGTTGAGACATACTACTTTGAGCATATGGGGAGATGTCATATCCCCGCTGTACTCCACCCCGGCGAAGAAGGTTACCCTGTTGGGTGATCTACGTCATGCCATGACATGCCACGGACTGGTGATCCTTGCATTAGCGTGTCAGGTAAAGCTGCAGAATGGCTACAACATACGGGGTAGTGTGGCTGCACGCAATATTCACATGTTGTCAGTTGGTATCAGTCGGAAGCTTGTGATTGTCGATCGAGTAGAGAAGTGGCGAAACGAAGATGTGAACAGAGGACCAATAGCATTGAAAAGGCTGAATGTAACCGTTGGATGTACATAGCTACTAGAAGGTACATACTTCCAATTAGTCTTAGGCTGTACCTGACTCGGGTACAGTGATATGTTTTTCTAAAACTAGCAAGCAATTGACAAGACCTTCTACCTTCACTCCCGGCTGTTCTGGATGAATATATTTATCTAACCCGCGGTGTCAACATGGTATGACCAAGAGGGTAGTTAGTTGATTTAACACACAGGGCTATCTAGTGTATGTCCGTAGAATAATGATAAACTGATTTCATTTCTATAGGCAGTCCTCCACCAAACCAACAAATACAAAGCAACTATTGAGACCAGACCAAAGAGATAAGAATGCAAGCTCCTATTACAAGAATTGTTTATATACGTCGTACGAATAAATAGAAAAGACTTGTAAGAACAACCAAATGAAAAAAAAAGAAGAATGCTATCTTAATGCCTACCAGTAACAAAAACTCGCTTCTGAAACAGAGCAAGAAAAGAGAAAAACAACAAAAGACAATTATAGACATGGACAATAGATCTTTGGAACAATCAAAAGGGCAGAGCAGACGGTCGACAGGAAGAGAAAAAGGAAAAGGGGAAGGGGATATATGCAACATGCTCTTCCAGCTTCTGCACGCAATAATGAAGACCACGCAGTGGAAAGGATTTTTTCCCCCTGGATGCACAGGATGAGAGGAGATAACAAGAATGACAAGACCATGGTAGACGGGCCGGAGCAAAAGCACACAGAGAGAAACGAGAGTTGCCTGGTGTGCTTGTCCAGTTGATGAACAGGAATAAGACCGAGAGATACCAGGGACACGCCCGAGATCAATCGATTCGGATTGTTATCTCTCGGAACTCGGTTCATCCTCAGGGCGGATTGTGTCATTGAGCCATGCCAATTCTTGTGCGGGGGTTGAAACCATTGATCCAAGTTGTTTGTCTCCCGAGCCAGCGCAAGAAACAAGGTCCGAGGGCGGCGCGCCGCGAGTCAATGGCATCGGAGGATCAACCGATGAGTACCTGCCCATTTGAAAGACCAATGGTTGATATTAAACGGTGCACGCCGGATATAGTGACGAGACAAGGAAGCGAAATCGAAAACAAAAGACAAAACTCTCACAAGTTCGCCGTTCCGAGTCGTAGCACCATGAAAGAGTGATGAGACGTAACATCAATGAGAGAAAGGTTGTTCCTACCCACAGTCAAATGTATAGGCTGAAGGATCGAATGGGACAAAAAGAGTATGGCCGGAAGGTGATTTAGGCCGAGAAGCACATTTCTTGCTCGGCGAAGCGGCGCTAACCACTTGAACACAAGACAAGAAAGGAGCGAGAGGTGAAGTAAACAAGAAAAGAAAAGAAAAAAAAAAGAAATCCCATGCAGACCTTCTTAGGCCATTTTCTGACATGAAGGGCAGGAAGCAGGTGAAAGCGTGGCGCGGTACGTCTAAATGCGCCATAATTTCATTTGGAATTCAACCTGGATCCTAAGATGAGCTGGGCGCTCAAGTGATGCAGTACAGCTGAATCACCTACCGCAGCACAGAGCCTTCATCAACTTCTGCGAGAAAGTGGGTGTCGATTCAGGGGTACCTGGGGCACCAAGGGGCTGTTGGTTACTCAGCCCCGGGTTCCCTGGACTCCCGTTGCGACCGGAGAGGTGGGCATTGGAATTTTGAAACTGAGCCTGGGTTGACGCAGCTGGAGTCGATGATTCCACCCCCGCGCTCTGGCGTTTGGGAGGAATGGCGCCGCCGGCGCTTGGTCGCTCGCGCGTCTTTCCAGCTCCAACTTTGGCTGGAGAAGGAGGCGGGGGCTGCGCGGCGTTTAAACGGTCGGCTGTCACTCCTGGACGTTGGCTGCTGCGGAGCTCTCTGGCATGCGGGTCGCGAGCAGTCGAGCTCTGGTGCTGGTTGTGGAGATGTGACTGGTTTGGGTAGGACTTATAGTCCCAGCCCCGTCCGTTGTTGAGCTTCATCCAGTCGTACTCGCCATCCTCCACCTCGCCGGCGTTCTTGAGAGCTTGTGTCAAGATATCACGCAGATAATCGTAGTCAGGGGTGTCCTCGAAACCAAGGTTACGGACGTAGCTGAGGTACTTGTTGAATTCTTCTGACAGAGTGGTTAGTAGATGGTTACGGGTAATAGTGATAATAACATACCTGGATAACCATCGCAGAGGTCCTTGATTGCCGTCGTTTGCTTCTTCTCGCCAATCTTCTCGTACTTCTGCTTGTTGGTAGCAGCCTTCAGGCCCTGCCAGGGAAGGCCACCCCTCAAGAAATACATGAAGACATGGCCAAGAGCTTCCAAGTCATCACGCCGAGATTGCTCACGCCCCAGATGCGTGTTGATACTCATGTAACGAGCAGTGCCAGACAAGGATTTACGCTCGCGGTAAGGAATGTGTTGCTTGGTCTTGGGATCACGGTATTGCTTAGCCATACCGAAATCAACCACGTGGATAACATTGGCAGCCTTCGTTGATGGCCGGCCAATAAGGAAGTTGTCTGGTTTGATGTCTCGGTAGATGAGGTTCTTCTCGTGAATTGTTTGAACGCGCGAAAGCTAGTGAAAGTTAGTCACGGTTCATGTAGTTTTGATCAGGGAAAACGCACCATCTGCTTGGCTACCATCACAACAGTCTTTGTGGTGAAGCGGCGGTTGCAATGATCGAAGAGATCCTCCAGAGAAGGACCGAGAAGATCGATAACGAGGATGTTGTGCAGACCCTCTTGTCCGAAATAGTAGACATTGGGAATGCCAGCTGACATGAAGTTAGAAGACCGTACACCATCTTATTCCTTAGGAATACTTACGGCATCCAACCAGAATCTTATATGTCCGGTACTCATCGCGGAGCTGGGGAGCATCGCTTTTCCGGGGTTCCTAATTGGGTCAGCCAGGAGGCTCGCCGGCCAAGGGGAAAGGGAGCGATACGAATTTGATGGCGACCTGCTGGTTGTTCAGGAGGTTGGTGCCCTCGAAAATGACACCAAAGGAGCCTTCACCGATCTTCTTGCCCACACGGTAGTGGACACCCACTACGTTTGACGATGAGGATGCCATGGTTTCGGGAGTAAGAATTGTCACCCGCGGGAATAAAACTTTGGATCACAGGGAATGGCTTCAGGGACGTAGACACGTGATTGATACTATGACTGGGCGCAGTTAGCACAGGAAGTCGGGTGATGAAAGCAATATCAAGGATTCCAGTCACATACATCAGTAACCTCTATTTTTTTCCGACCGAAGCAGCTCTAACAGGCTCAATGGAGTCTATTCGTCAAATAGCCGATGTACCGGGGACGGCGATGAAAGGAGACAGGGCGGCAGACGAAATGCACGATCGGGACGAGATCAAAGGGACGGAGGGACGTCTAAAGCCGAAATAGCCCAATACAAGCGGAATTGGCAGTGCTGAGCAGTAAATGAGGCGTTCGTGGGTCCTTTTTTGACGGTCGGAAGTGACGAGCTGGGGTTGAAGCCGGGAGAGGTGGTAGACAAGCCAAAGAAAAGGGGAAAAAAGGGGAAAACAAAACACAGAGGGCACTTCGACCTACTGCGAGTACGGACCGCACTGAGCAGTGGTTTCAAAGATATACCAGAGGACCTGAGAAGGGAGAAGATGGAGAAGAAGAGAAAGAGAAGGTGCAACACTCTAGGAGAGAGACAGGGAGCGGAGGGTATTGGGTTCGTATTGGTAAAAGACGCCCTGGAGGGGAAGGGGGGTTAGTCGCAGGAACCGCTGGTCACGAGAATACAGTGACTGTATGGTAACTTTGGGGATGGGAAACCTTCTGAGACCTATCAGAGGTCGTCGTCTTCATTGTTCTCTATAACGAACTAGCAGTTACATATAGACTCATATTAAGGCTTATGCTTGTTCGAAGAAAGCCACCAAATTGCCTAACTCTTGAATATTCCCATCTCGTACCTACCCTCTCCCGAGTCTCGGCGCTTCCGAAGCGGCTCAATCTCCAGGGCTGCATTAACCAGGCACCGGAAATAACAGGGAAGTTATATACATAGTATCGGCTACGACATACATTTTGTCTCAAGAAAGAAGTTATAACCGGGGCAGCATAGACAGGCCGATTCAAGTTTTCTCATTTCAGGGGAGAGCTCCCGTCTGGAGGTTAATCAGGCGGTAATATTACCGTCTTGGCAGGAACCCGGCCTCCCAGTTCGTCGATCACTGGGATCTGTGTCCACGTCTCTAGCCCTAGATATGACATGTCCACTAGATAGCCCGATAAAATCACAAGTTCATGCAATCTAATGCTAGTATCGTTACATTATAGCAGATGTCGCGATAAACGGCTCCATATTGATTGGACTAGTGGTCTTCGGGAATGTCCTCGGCTTCGCTCCCAAGTTCATTCTCAACCATGTCCTCATCACTGTCCTGGCCGGCATCTTCATCGTCCTCATCGTCCTCATCATCTTCACTGCTGGACCCGCTGCCTTCACTATCGTCACTTTCGGGGTTGTAGTCTTCCTCCTCTTCCTCCTCTTGGTCTTCAAGCTCCCGCTGAGCTTTCTGGAGCTCACTTTCATCTTCACCGGCTGCCTCCGCGGCGGGTCCCGCCGCATCCTCTCCGCCGGCTTTATTCACATTGTAGACCTTGGCGCGCCGTGCCTCTGCGAGACTAGCATCTTGGAGACCATGTCGTTTGATGTAAGTATCGATTCCGGAGAAATTATCCTGGTCAATCATCGAGAACTCGAATTCCTGGACGTCTTCCTCGGAGCCATTCTCCGGGCGAGCCATGACATTGAGATTGAATGTCCGCTGGAGGACGGATGTATAAGAAACAGAGTCAACAGTTGCAAATGAGAAGAACAGGAGCGGTTTCTTGAATGCAAATAAGATACCGGTAGAAAGAAGGAAGAGATAGCCTGGCGCAAGCCAAAGTATGTTAGAATTATCGAGATAAAACTAGAAGCACAATGGCTTCCAGTCAGATGGAAATATGAATGCAACATACCTTCTTTACTACCGCGGAATGCTTTGACATGGTATGCTTTCTCGCCCTTCCGGTGCGCCTCAGGCATGGCACTGACAAACTGTTTATCATCAGGGCGCACAACACGGGTGTGAGCCATGTTCTCATCCAAAATTTTGCGAATAAATGCCTCGGCCGATTCACCGGGACCTTGGCCAAGCTGCTTCCCATCTCCTGAGAATGCTGCCTTGGCTGGTCCATCGGCTATCGTAAACACCATAGCTTCGGAGGTCGCTGTTCCCTCGGGCGGGGGTGTGATTCCATCGGCGTACTCGGGGATGATACAAAAATTGAACTGTTTTTGTGTCTTCTCGGGCACAGGAAGACAGAGGGCATGTCCTAATTCGTAACAGATCATGTTAGCAACTCAAAAGTTTTCTTGACCAAGTAAACTCAAACTCACGAATTTTATCCATAGAAACACCGAATTCAATCTCCTTCGTAGCTTGGTTCCTTGCCCGAAGATACTGATGTCCAGCAGTGACCTCGAGCGTAAGCTTCTTCCTCTGCGGCGTAGAGAACGAAACATCTTGAACATAAAAAAGAAGTGGCGCATTGCCATCTTTCAGGTTGACTGACGCCTGCGCAGTCTCCCCCGAGTCTCCATTTTGAAGCTTTCGCTTTTTAGCGGCAGGCCCATCAGCGGCTGGGGGCCGCGAAGGGAGGGTGGTGTTGGTCCTGGCCAGCAGGCTGGAAGTATATTTCGCAAGATCTTCGAACAGAGGTTTATGCTGCGGTGTTGTGCCTAAACGAGAAAACCCATTGGCGACGGTCAGCAGGAGGTCGACGAGGTTATCGAAGGGGGACGTGGGTGCGTTGTTGGCTACGCACCGATCGCATCGTAGACTCGCTTTTTCAGCAAGGGTTCCGTCGCAAATGCCTCCTCGATGGCGGCGATGGGCGCGCCCGAAGAATTAATGGAGGCGAATGCCATGTCTCTTTGCGACTGCTTTGGTTCAACAGAACAGCAGTGCAGGGAGATGCAGGTTAGTCGGAGATTTGGGGGATGAAAGCAAGGGTGGACCCGAAGTATCCGCATTGATTGGAACCCTAACTTGGGGATCATGTACGGAGTATGGATATCTCCATACTGTATGAATTCAAGACACAAATCCGAATTAACTTCATCAAGAAATAGATATATGAGTGAATGCAAAGCTTCATACTAGAATACAGTGGTGTGTGTACACAATGCTACAGGAAAAAAACTCCCTCCGCCGACTTCCATCTCCTTCGCCCAATCAAGCAGCCTGCTTGGGCTTTGACTTCTTTGTCTTTGTTGGCTTCTGGAGACGTGCGTTTTGGAGATGCTTGTTAATGAAGTCAATAGCAGCCGGTGTCAACGCCCCATTCCCGTTGGCATCCAACTTCGCCTTCCTCGCTTCCGCAATTTGAGCAATCTTCATGTTCTTGACATCTGTCTGCGGTGTCATCATAGAGACGGTTTTTCTGTATTCCTTGCGATAGTCCTCCTTCATCTTCTCTCTCAGGTATTCCGGATCGTGTCGAGTGCGGAATCTGGAGTATTTGTTGCGCAGCTCATCAATGACGGTTGTAGGCATGGGCGGGTGCTCCAGTGTCGGTATGAATGTGCTGGCTTCAACCGCCATTCGCGTTGTATCCATGTCGCCGTCGGTGATGACAGGCTCTTCCTCCAACGGCCAAGGGATTTCGACGTCCAAGCCGGAGATATAGCGAGTGAATCTTGGGAGCTTGCTGTGTTCGGGTCGCTCGGTGTACGGCCCAGCAGCATAAGCGTGCTGAACAATGACGTTCTGCATCTTTCCAGTCTGTGTGTCTTCCAGCGGAATGACATGTCGAATGTCGTCCATAGACACGGGAAAGGACTGTGGTTGGGTATCACCTGCTTGTCCCATTCTGTCTTTGGCCCATTCGGGAATGATCACGTCGGCCTGATTGAAAAAACATCAGTGAGCATTTGTTTAATCAAGAGGTCATTGACTTGGATGGCTGGTCCGCCGGAGACATAACATACCACGTTGATACCCTTGATGAGGACAGTCTCACTCTCCCGGTTGACCTGCTGAATGACATTGATCTTTCCCTGATCCCGTCCTCGGATAACGCAGACCCGGTCACCTTCGGCGAAGAGGACATGTCTCCGTTGTTCGTGCTTAGGGAGACGCGGTGGGTGCAAAACGGAGGCATCCTGACCACCATATGTGGTACGTTGTAGACCAGAGTCTCGCATGGGGGCAAGAGGCCCCTTTTCCCAATCTTCCCAGCGGTTCTTTCGTGCTTCTTGGAATTGGCCAGACAGCGCGCCGCCGAAGTCCTTCCGCGCCCGCCGAATCCCAACACGGTCTAACAATTCCTGTCGTTCATGAGCTTTGTGAGTTTTTTTGAGAGCCTGCTTCCGGGCCGTAGCTGTCCGCTGGATAACTCTCTGCATATTGGGTGTTGTGGTCCAGCAATGGCCGAACGTTGTCTCTGCCTCAAGAATCCCCAATTCGCGGATCGAAAATTGAGGGTGTCCGATGAGCCACGTGATCTTGGAAGGGTAATGTGTATTATGTCAGCAACCGGTTGGCAGCCTGAAACATTCAAGTAGTTATACCGAGACCAGCTGTCATTGATTCTCACAATACTTTATTATTCTTATTGTATTGCTCTATATTTGAGAAGGAAAATACCCCATGGAAAGTGGCAATGAAGGCTGCGAACGATTGACAGGCCTCAACAACGCCAACAAATACACGAAAAAGCCAATGTATTCCTACAAGCAGCTTTCCGTAACAGCTGACTAAATTCGAGGGCCACAACCCACATGGAAACCACACCGAGGTGGATGGTATCTAAAGATATTCGGGCAATCTCATGATTGAAGGTTTATATCCGAGGATTCGGGGATTACTGATGGCCATTAGACACATAAGAGTCATCCGTGCTTTGGACCTTCTAATTCTCCGTACACGTCCTTTCCCAGCATTTAGTTTCCGAATGCCGTCAGAGGAACGCACTTGTCTTCTTCGGACAATCAAGAAGCACCGGCATATGTTATGAGATACGTATCGACGCCGATTCAATGTGGTTGAGACT